AATCAATGAGTAATAGTATATTCTTCAACGAGAATATAATAGCCATTATATGCGAGTAGAAGACTATACTTTCTCTTCGAACTGTTTGGTTTTTTCTTTCAAATCATTAGTTTTTATAAGAAATAACAATCATCAAAAGTCTAAACCCGCCTTAATTTTTTTAAATTGAAAGTTTCGTGATCTGGCAGCAGACGTCAGTCATGTTTTGTTTGTATTGTCTCGTTGCGGCCCGTGTATTCCGAAAATACGGAGAATTTGATTGGTCGATAGGCCGTGGATTTCGATTATTATCCACGGGTCGTGTAGAATTCGTATCATTAATCAGTTTAATATCGAGCAAGAATGAATGTATTATTTAATGTTCGAAGAGAAAAAAAATTACAACTTTAGTGGTGAGTTTCATATCAACTTCCACTTTGTTTTGTATCATGACAAAACTCTAATTAATAAATCCTAAATGTTTCAAATTGCTGGGATGGCTCTAAGTATCTTTCAGGAACCTCCAAAGGAGATTTTACATGAATTTGATGATGAAAATTTTGACAATGTTTCAACTTTGAAACTTAATCACTCTGATTCAGAAGCAACTGAATCCCGTTTCCAGAGGATTTAGGTACATAGAATTTGATCCTCTTTCAGAAAACCTATGAGAAAAGTTGATTCGTTGACATCCATGTCAGGACACCTGAAATTTTTTGTATACAAAATTGACATTCTCTTCTCTAATTATTACCTCCATTGATACATAACACCCATGTCCTTGGATATAATCAAATTCCAGGACTATTTCTTATGAACAATTATTTATTCAATTACAGCATTAAAAGTGCACATAAACTACTTTGTTTTCCTTGTTCTTCTCGTCGCTCGTTTTGGTGGATCGTCGTCGTGTTTTGGATCATTTGGATTTGTGCCCGCTCCTTTTTCAATTCACTCAACATTGTAGGTGTCAAAATACCTTCTGCTAAAAGTCGTTCTGTTAGCCAACCACTTCCTATAGCTGAAAAAAACAAACTACCTATATTACCTATTTCAATAATCCTAATCGAATTGTTAGTTCTCAAATAATTTTGTTTCTTGGTATTGGTATCATATTGTTCGTTAACTGCTCCTGAATGTCAGTTGGTGAAAGGATAGGAACAAATGGACCTGATAATGGATATAGGAATAAAAGAATGAAAAATATCGCTAAAAAAAAATAAGAGTCACGATTGAAAACCTCTCTTTGGAAAAAAATAGCGAATACATCCAGCTAGGGAAGTTTGAAAGAATTAACCTTTACAGTGGAAATCGCACAAAGGACAAAGCTAGTATAGGCAGGTTTCACGGATCCTAATGAACCAAAAAAATCCACTTGACGTGAGATGCACAGATTTCAACAAATGTTTATCACTCATATATATGGTTGACAGGTTTGGACATTTATAAAGAACTTAGATTTACCTGAACATAAGTCTTTACCTGGATGAGAACGATGACCAGATTAGAGTATCTAGTATCAGAAGTCACCTATGTAAAATGGAGTTTCGTTGGACATCTTCCAAGAGAAAAACCACTCAGAAAACTTAGCACTAATACAATAGAGGCCATGTCCTGGGCACAGATCAAGAGGCAGATCACAAATGAGGAGATGAATCGAAGATCACAAACTAAACGAAGAATTACACTGAAGACAAGGGGCTGAAATTAGAGTTCTCTGATGAAAATTGTGAGATGCCTATATCTAAAGATGGATGGATAACAGGCTAGAGGCTAGACAAGAAGAAAAAGACGAAGGTTTCTTTTAACCTGCCTTAGGCCTTCTTCTCCATTTTACCGCCAAATTCATTGTCATAGTGTGTTAGATTTCAGTTAAGACTGGTCATCATACTTGTTAGAGTGAATAGGATAGGAAAAGCATATTATATACAACAGACATTTCCGCATGTCGCTCAAAGCGGAATCATCCTGGGTACATAAGCGGATTCGTAGATACGTGACTCTTCTATTACCAAATTTTGAAATTTGAAACCACAAAAACCACAACAAAATTAGCTCTTCTACAACATTTAGAATCACCTGAATTAAGCCTTACTCTTCATATCACTATTACTGATCAATGTACCTACTGTCCGATTCAAAAACTATATCAACTCATCAACGGTGCCTATATACCGTTCCAATTCCTCTGTGATTTTTCCTTAGATTATACATTTTAATTATGCATGTAGAAATAAGCAAAGGTGGGCACAGTTAATCGAAAAGTTAACTTCGTTAATCGTTAATTCGCTACTTGAAAAGTTAACTTCGATAACCGTTAATCGTTAAATTTTTGAGAATATAACGCAAGTTAAAGTTATCCGTTAAGAGTTAATCATCGAAAAGTTATACTAATGTTTGAAGCTAAATATAAGTAATAGATAATTGAAATAGAATGGGCTGGGCAAGGGTATAGTATTTTTAATATCTATTTGGAAGTACCAGTCATTTTAGTGATTTGTGGTTGGTTGGTAGTTTTTTGTTTCATCTGATTCATGATTGATGAACAAGGATGGCAGGGCCGTATCTAGACCAAAATTTTGGGGGGGGTTAGACAAAGTGGCAAAAAAAAATTGTTACACTAGTAATAAAAAATACATAAAAATAAGTATTTAATAAGTGTTGTTTGTTTTTAAGTTAAATTTTTTGAATTTTATTATTTTTTGGGGGGGGGGGGTTTGAACCCCCAAAACCCCCCCCTAGATACGGCCCTGAAGGATGGTGTTATTCCATGATACTAAAACACAGAAGATATGATCATTTGGTGGACGAAATTTGAACCAGTTCGCGCATGACGTCATCGCGTGACAAAAATCTATGGAGATAATAGAGAAATTAGCTTGTTCGTTATGATTTGACTGGCAAATCAGGATTTCCTGTGATAATAATTCAGATATACAAAATAAAACACGATTCAGCGTATAGTGTATAAATTATTTTACATAAAATAGCTATTTAGAAAATGTGAAAAATGTCACAGTTAAATAATATGTTAAAAGTAGACAACTATAATAAATGAAAATTGGAACAGCATTACACCACACATGGCTACTACATACTTTTTTCTACAACTGTCAAAAAATGATGATGTTCGCACACTCATGACAGTTTGCGAAGTGGCACTTTTTTCCCCAGGTATTGATTTTTTAACGTTCCCATGACGCCGTGCGCGAACTAGCTATTTCGTGCACGTGTGCGTGAAATAGCTAGTTCGCACACTGGGTGTCATGGTGACACATACCTGTCAGGAAATCAAAAATAATTAAAATTCACCTACCTTTGATTGAAAATGCAATTTTGGCTTCGAATGATTGATATTTAAATGGAGTTGTAGAAAAAATATTGTTTGCAACGGGCGTGAAATACTTTGGTGATCTCGACTATTTTTTTAACTCGGCTGTGCCTCGTTAAAAAAATCAGATCTCGATCACCAAAGTAGAATTTCGCGCCCTTGATACAAAAATAACTATTTATGTATATTTTTGACCAAATCCCTTTCATTATTTGTTTTGTCATAGTCTTTCTGTTTAGATGTTTCAGTTTTCGGAGATTTAATTTTTGATACTGAAGTCCAGCTTCCGATAGCGTTTTTGCACCCATATATCACAATTATATCTATAACTAGGCATGTTTTTACTTTTTTTTTATTATTGTTACTGCTACCTGCTACAATCCACGACCGCACAGTAAACCATGGTTTATTCTGTTCATTTGTGTTTGAGTTTCTTTAATAATAGTTACAGCATAAAGTAACTATTATTAAAGAAACTCAAACACAAATGAACAGAATACAATTTTAACAAGGAGATTTTCACGTAAGAACGGACAAAAATACTAATAAACAGATAAAACGATTAAAAACGAACAAAAACACGCCAAGACGCCATTAATCGGACCGAATTTGTCACGGGATGACGTCAGCGGAGGGAGAGAGACAGAACATAAACATGCGCGTGATCTTATCTTGTGTGTTCTAGTATCATGGTGTTATTCCAAATGGGTATTAAAAATACTTTACCTACACTCCTACACAGGTGAATATGAATAAAACAAAAAGTATCTAGATCTAAAAAGCGGCACTATTTCCAGTTTAGAGCTGATTTATTTACCATTAAGCTCTGCTAGAGCAAGGAGCGTATAGAACAATGCAAACAACGCCACAGCCCATCAGCGATACAGACCTAGGGGCTTGCGCATCGATCTCACTGTACGGAATCGGGTTTGGAGTCATTCCAGAACAGTTCCAAACTGCGAAGTGTAGCGAACTGAAATCTTTCTACGCCTGTGCAAACTGTCCCGATTGACCTTGACGTACAATTCAAGCAAACAAAATAACGTCATTTACGAACGTAACGGACTAACGTTAACGGAAGTCCAATGTAACGGAAGTTAAGAAAACCGTTAATATTTTTTAGGTTAACTTAAAAGTTAAATTTAAGCAATTTTTTTAACTTCGTTAATTAACGGATAACGGATTAACGGTTTTCTGCCTAGCTTTGGAAATAAGTTCATCAGGATTAGCTCCTACGATCTAGGTAGCCATTATTTAGTGGGCCTTTATTTGTCTCTCAACGATCTGGATAATGATGATCCCTTCAATACCTTACTAGACCTTTGAAATTGTTGAATGTGCATGTTTTGATTTAAAACCAAAACGCTTGATATGGTTTGATAAGACGTCTCAAGCATTATTGTATGCATAATAAGAAAAGATTATACATATTATTCATATTGTTATTCACACATTTATGGAACAAAATTTTTTTAACACTCTGGCCCAGTTTCAATTATAGGAGATTCCAGCAGCAAATGCACCCAATTAAAATAAACAAAACAAACACGCCGGAATAACATTGATCAATGAAAAGTATGCAATGAATCATTAATTCTCGCGATCTTCTCCCACTACAGTGGCGTTTCTTATGTTTATACGCCAAGAAACATGTGGGTCTCATCATTGATTCTCCGCTTACTTAACAATCTCGAAATCCATCAGTCCGACGCTGTTACACAAATAGTGCATCATTTCGTCGGTCTTACGTTTCGTCAATCGCGGTGTTAATTTATTCCCGAAAAATTTTGTTAAACATGAGAAGTTCAAGATTTAATTGTTGTCCTCCGCGGTTCAGGTGGTTCCGCGCTAGTTGGTCGCCGAAACACGATGCGGCCTTGCAAATGTTACCCAAACCTGAAGCACCTGATGCTGATGGTAAGTAATAGAACCGAAATAGTTTATCAATTTTTATTAAGCGATGTTTATTGTTTAATTCTAGTATAGGATTTCTAAAGCTGTAATGATGTTGTAAGCTTTTTAACGATTTACCTACGCGAACCTTGGAATTTTATTATGTTTTTTTTCTACAATAAAAGCTATTCACTTAAGTAAGTGTTAAAATTTGGCAAATGTAATATTATGGATGCATACAATTCATGATACCTACGCCACTGTCAAATATTTATTCTTATATTATCTCAGCTAGCAACTATAGCTGATGGCCACCCAAGAAATTAGGTAGGTATTCATACAGAGACAATAATTAATTTAATCGCATATTAAGTAAATATTTGCAGAAGAAATGTTATAACGTATTTTTTGGCAATTGAAGTAGGTATTCTTTAAAATCAAAAATAAGCGTACATTAGACTTTGAAATTTCTGAAAATACAAATGCTGTGTTGTGGAAAAAGAGTTCAGTCAAAAAGTGATAAGGGTAAGTAACAAAGCAATACCTATTTTCTTTTCTTTGATACCCAGTCGATCGTTTACGCATCGACCATTAAATCTCTGCGCAGATGATTTTTTGAGAAGTTCGAAAAAACCTTACATTTTAATTTGTTAGTCGTATTCCACTTGTGTTATTTATAACAATCTATTCTGTCACTGAAAAGTAGTTAAGAGAATTGAAAAATAGGTCATTCCCTAGACTCTCTGAACTATTCTCACCATCATCTTTGAATTGGAAGAAGCAAAATCTAATGAACCTTTAGTTATTAATTTATACATTTTCACAAAGCAAAGTCAAAATTCTTCGTTTAAACTTTGCCAATGGATAAGTTATTCTGTTAAATTTATCTTTTCAGCAATCTCAAAAAGCAACAGGAAAATTAACAGCGTTTCCGTTTAGTAAACTATTACATGGTCGCGCAGAGTAATCGATTTCTATTTGTAAATGCACCTTAACAATATTTCACGATCACCAATATTTCACACTTCAATAACTTGGCTATGGACCAGAGGTTTGATATTTTGCTTTATTTAATATGCGAATATTCTTAGGTACCTACTTCAAAAATAGATTTTTTACAATGTTCGTTTTATGTCCATCGATTTATTTATTTGATTTGTTGGTTGGATATTTATTTAACTAGAGCTCCCAAACTTTACGTTTCATCAAATTTTCCTCTATAGGTCTTAAGAAGTTTTTTTATTTTGCTATATATGATGTTTGTGATACAGCAATATGCTAAAGAAATTTGACCACACAAATATTTGAAAGAGTTTCAAATTTTACTGAATTCAGTCAAAGACGTTACAGGTTATTCGTTGAGAAGATTCAAATTCAAACCAAGAGCCGGGAAAAATTGAATTTTGCAAAATTTTCAATGAAATCCAATAAAAATAGCGTCTAAATTGTTTCGACTCATTGAAAAATTTTAAAATTTTCATTATTTCCGGCTCTGGATACCGATCAGGGTCTATCAAATCTGTACAATAGGTCGGCATACACACACGTTATTTCGCGCGGTTTATCGTGGCGTGCTGGGATGTAGCGGTTTGCACGCGCGAAAGAACGGCGTGACAAAAAAAGCGTCATGTTCCATACACTTGACAATGTATTCAAATGATTTAGCACGTGATTACGCGCGGCGTATCAGTTGGAAAGGAAAAACCGTATGTGTATGGGTAAAAAAGTGTCATTTATCGTGTCGTTTGGTCGTTTGGAAGTGCATGTTGTCATGTACTAATTTTCAATGTGATGGTTTGCTACGCGGCGTTTATGTCTCCGTACTAGCCTCAAAATCGTGACGTGGAATGGCGTGTGGACACGGATGTGAACTGCACTGTCATGTACTTGAGTACCGAGACGTCACATTCTAGATGAAAGCCCGTCTGAAATCCGTTCCCATTCTATCATTGCGCGTAGTCCTCCTCACTCACGCACATGATTTTTCACAGTTTTTTGCAGATGACACGATAAACCGCGCGAAAGAACGTGTGTCTATGCCGGCCTAATAGGTCGGCATACACACACGTTATTTCGCGCGGTTTATCGTGGCGTGTTGGGATGTAGCGGTTTGCACGCGCGAAAGAACGGCGTGGCAAAAAAAGCGTCATGTTCCATACACTTAACAAAGTATTCAAATTATTTAGCACGTGATTACGCGCGGCATATCAGTTGGAAAGGAAAAACTGTATGTGTATGGGTAAAAAGTGTCATTTATCGTGTCGTTTGGAAGTGCATGTTGTCATGTACTAATTTTCAACGCGATAGTTTGCTACGCGGCGTTTATGTCTCCGTACTAGCCTCAAAACCGTGACGTGGAATGGCGTGTGGACACAGTTGTGAACTGCACTATCATGTACTTGAGTACTGAGACGTCACATTCCAGATGAAAGCACGTCTGAAATCCCTTCCCATTGTATCATTGCGTGTAGCCGTCCTCACTCACGCACATGATTTTTCACAGGTTTTTGCAGATGACACGATAAACCGCGCGAAAGAACGTGTGTCTATGCCGGCCTAATGAGCTAATGGACTATGAATGGCAAGCAATTTTGAACACTCAGGATCAGATTGAAACTACATTTTGCCATTTTTCCAAAATTGTAACCAATGCAATGCACCGTTTCATCGTTAGGAAAGGCTTAGCAAAGGGATTCTTAAAGTTGAGAAATAATTTTGTATGCACCGTCAACAAATTTTGTTCTCTTACCTAAGAACCTGATAGAATTTGCAACATTGCAATTTCTTGATGACTTTTGTTTTTTTATCAGTTTTGACAGGTTTTTATACAGTTTGACTTTGACAGTTTTGGTTAGTTCGTTGGTTGACAATTTAAAAATTGTACACTTTTCGCGTAGATATAAAAGAAACATATTTGTTTCTCTATACTTTCCGGTGATTTTGTAGTGTATTGGTTATTTGGTGTCGGTCTCTATAGAAGAACTATGAAATATTCTAGGCCGCTCTTTGTTTTGTGTTTCTCGAGGTGTTTTTTGAAGGCAAGACTTGTTTCAAATATGAATGATAGAAACAAGCATGAATTAAATTTTTCACAAAACGAAAAACAATTGTTTATTTCCATGATAAGCAAATATGCTAATATAAGTGTAAATAAGAAGACAATATTTGCAAAACAGTGGGTTTTCTAGTTTTCTCAACCTGAATCGTCAGAAAAAAGACGAATCATCCAAATTCTTGGGGCCCATAATTGAAAATATCCAAAATATCAAAATCGTCTTCAACTAGCATGTAGAACTCCATTTTTTTGTATGGCAAAGGATGGAAAATCTTGTTTAATATAGTTGTTATGTTACAACAAATCCAACCGGTCCTAGCCTAACCCCACAATCGCAATAAAGACAAATTTTTGTTTCTTAAGTCGAGGATTTCGATGACTTAACTTTAAGAAGAACTTGAGCAAATTTAATTGGCGGTGCATACGAAATTTAAAACTTAAGTTGAAAGGGAAACTAAGAACAGAATAAAGTGAACGGTGCATACGGGCATCAGTCTCTACAATAGCAAAACTCAAACTGTTAATTTCACATTAATGTGAATGTGAGATACCTAGTGACGAGATAGTGAAGTTCTTGGTGTGTATCTCGTCCCAGGACTCACTTGGAAAACTCATTGTGACAACCTTAGCGCTAAGCTTTCTGAAATTACATTTCGGATAAGAAAACCTTTTGAAGAATGTTTCTACTACCACTGTACTCCAGCTTACCTTGGCTCCTTCTGCTCCAATATGTCACATGCAATACTAAACTGGGGTCATGCTCCAAGACAGCAAATTTTTAAACTCCAACCATACGAGTAGATAGAATAATAGCAGGTTTAAAGTACCCATACTGCTGTGGGGATGGGATAGCTTTAGGAGCGCACGGATTTTGACTTTCCCCTGTGTTTCATATTGAACTGCCTTATCTATGTCAAAAAAAATCAGGAACTTTTCCTGGCACATGCAGAGGTCCACTCGTGTGCAACTAGAAATCGTGACCAACTGGTACCTAGCTACTATCGATCGGGTTCAAATCACTTAGGGATAAGATTTTTTAATGCTCTTCCTTCTGACGTGAAAAACCTTGAGGTGAGAAATTTCATTGGAAAAATTAAAAAATAACTTCTTCAGGGTGCATTCTACTTTTTTTTGAGGGGTACCTACCTTGATGGTAATTTTATGTTTGATTAGGTAATTCAGTATTGTTGAATCTAATCTTGAATTTTTTGAAGTGTCTGTGTTGTTTGTTCTAGTCCCTTGTCTTTTTATTGCATAATTTTAACCAAATTTTTATATTTAAAACACAGTTATTTTGTTTAATGTAGATTTAGAGCGAACTGTAGCTCTGTTCTAATTAGAAAGGAATACAATGTATTTTTATAATAAGATTTATCACGAAATCAGTACTTTACACTTTCTTACTTGTAAAATCATTTGATTATGTGCAATTATTACCAATAAATAAACTTAACTTGAATTCAAATCAGAAGCCAGGGAAAATGAAAATTTGATAATTGGTGCAGTGTCAACTACTGTTGCTATTGATAATGTCAATCTGTTGCTATTGCCAAAAAAAATTTGAAAACAAAGACAGTTGTTTTGGTCCCAAAACCTGTGTGTTGTATTGACGATTGAACAGTATTAGTGTTCCAATACAATACCCATTACCTAGAGTAGATGATTTACTTCATTCGACTGCTAAGGCTGCCTGCATTACAACTCTTGACATGAAAAGTGGTTAGCATCAGATACCAGTGAAGAAGGAATACCAAGATAAGATTTCTTTTATTACTCCTTTTGGTACTTTTCGATACAATGCTATGCCTTTTGGATTGATAACAGCACCCGCAACCTTTCAAAGGCTCGTTGTAAGATTTCGCTCAGGGTTACCACATATGAGTAGGTATATGTTGGCTTATTTAGATGACTTGATAATTATGTCATCCACCTTTGAAGACCACCTAAAAGACCTAGGTGAGGTTTTCAA